CCCCCCCGTGCACCGTGTGTCCCCTGCATGCCCAGCACCCCCCGTACGTGCCAAGTGCCCCTCACGGAGCCAGCCACCCCACGCCAGCACTGAGAGTCCAGACCCTCCCCTCCTAGTTCTTCAGGTGACTCGGAAATGCCTCCCCATCGCGCACACAGCTCAGGGCCTGGCTATTGAGGGGTTTCCTCACCCTGCAGAGCAGCTGTCACCCACCTAGCCTGGGCCCTACCCACCCACGGGGGTCTCAGGCACTGCCTGCTTTGCCCCTCCCCCTGCCCCTTTACCTCACCAGCTCCTGCGCCAGTGCACGTTGCCCCTCCCTGGCGAGGGCTTGGCTGCTGGTCAGCGGGATCGGTTCCCTCCTTGGCCAAGCAGGACAATAGGAAGGGGAGAGCGCGGTGAGCTGTGGACGCTGGGCCCCACCCCAGCCATCCATCTAGACTCTAGCAGGGCCCCACTGCCGGGTGCCTGCCCCGTCCCAGGCCGGACTCAGCGCATGGACGGGGCCCAGCGCTGCCCTGCTCACCACGCCCTCTGGGTAGTGCGCTGGGGCACCCCCTCACTGGGCGTGAGGGGCCAGGAGGAGCGAGATCTGGCTCAGTCACCCAGCCCAGCAGTGCTGACCTTGCGGGGGTCCAGGCCCAGCTAAGCTGCGCCCCCTCCCCGGTCGGGTGACTGAGCTGGGGCAGCCTGCAAGCTGCTGGGGAAGGGTTGGCGGTGGTTCTTGGAGTCGCAGAGAGCCAGGCATGGCAGGGACTCTCTGCAGCGAGAGGCGGGGGAGGCAGGCAGGACCTGGGTGGGTGTTGTGGAGCTGCTGGAGAGCCCAGCCGCCTGGCCTGAGGGTGAGCCGCGGGGGCGTCTCTGGCTTGGGACCTGGTCGGAGGAGCGGCTCCCAGCCGTTCACTGCCCCCAGGCCAGGGGAAAGGCACTTGCCTGGGGGAGTGGGGCTGGGGTGCCCCTTCCCTGAGCCCAGCCAGGGTGGGCCTCGCTGCCTGGGAGAGTCGCGCTGCCGCGGGTAGCAGCTGGTTTGAGGTGGCTGGGGAACACACGGTGCGGCCCTGCCCACCCCATGTGTGTAGGGGGCATCGCTTTGCCAGTGACCTCTGTCCTAGGTACCAGGCCATGCCCGGGGCTCGCCCACACATCCCGGCTCTAGGGCGGTGCAGGGCCGGCCCCCCCTGCCAGGAGTTGAGTCTCCCAGGGGTCAGCCCAGGAGGGGGAACGTCCTGTTGCTACCTGAGCTGCTCGTTCTCCAGCACAAACTCCTGCAGGAGGCCATAGAGGCTGCGCCTGGCCGAGCCGGGTGCTCTCCTCAGGGCCCCTCTCTGCCCAGGGGCATGGCTCTCTCCCTGGCACTCGGGCAGCTCTGCAAGGAAGACGAGATGGGTGACAACTGGAGCCCAGCCGCTGCATCTGCACTCGGGCCAGGGTCTGGGGGTGGCAGGTCACATACTTCTCTGATGCACAAGCCCATGGTGCCCCTCTGCAGGCTCCCCACTCCTGTCCCCCAGGGCGGCCCTGGATCCCTCTAACCCCCAGCCCTGCCCCGTCCCCAGCTGCACGCACGTGTGGGGGCTGTGTGGGTGGCTGTGCCCTCGCCCAAAATCCTGGGCAGTCGCAGCTGCTGGCGCAGGGAGAGGTTTTCCTCCCGCAGGGCCTGGATTTCTTGCTCCAAACTTCGCAGCAGCTTCTCCCGGGTCACCTGGCAAATCAAAGGCACAAGGCTTAAAGGGGAGGGGGCCCCACAGCTCAGGGAGAGGGCCCTGGCCACAAGGGGCCCTGCTCTGGGGTGCAGCGAACTCAGATGTTCAGATGTTGTGAAGGCCAAGAGTATAACTGGGTTCAAAAAAGAACAAGATGAGTTCCTGGAGGCTAGGCCCATCGACGGCTGTTAGCCAGGCTGGGCAGGGACACAACCCCGTGCTGTGGGTGTCCCTAAACCGCCAACTGCCAGAAGCTGGGACTGGACGCCAGGGACTGGATCACTCGATAATTGCCCTGTTCTGTTCGTTCCCTCAGAAGCACCTGGCACTGGCCGCTGTCAGAGACAGGACACTGGGCTCCAGGTCTGACCCCATGTGACCGTCCTTGTGTTCAGAACCCTCTGGCCTTACCCTGTGTGCCACAGGCTTGGTGGTGACCTTCTTGGCCCTGCCGGCGAAGCGCAGCGTGCGCAGTGTCTCCGGGAGGCAGCGTGAGGAGGGGGAGATGCAGGCGACCTGCTGGACAAGGGACAAGGCTGAGGAGCAGCTCCCAGTGGGGCCCTCAGCAGAGAGGGCTCTGGCGAGTCTCTCCCCACGGCCCCAGGCTAGCCGGCTCAGGCACTGGAATCCCAGACTCCAGCCTTGCAGTGTGACTTTGATAGGTCACTGCCCCTGCTCCCGTCCCAGCTCTGCACCTGTGGGGCTGCAGCTCCAGGCCCTCACTCAGCCCATCCCCGGGTGCAGAGGGGAGCCAGGCTCCTACCATGAGCGTGATCCCGGATCCGCCCAGGGACTCGGCCAGCAGCCGGGTGAGCTTGCTGTCCCTGTACGGGATGTGACTTCGCTTCCGTCTGGGGTCCACCAGCAGAGAGATGCAGTGCCCTGCGGGGAGGACAGGCCGTCACACTTGCCTTGGCGCTCAGGTGGCGCTGCTCCAGGCAATGAGCACACAGAAAAGCCGCAAGGCCCAGCCGAGCCTGCAGCCAGCTGGGGGAGCCTGCAAGCCTGGCCCCTCTCTCTGGCACGGCTGCAGGGGCCTTACCCAGAGCCAGGAGACTGCGGTTGATGTTGCTGGCCTCCACTAAGCGCTCCCCAGCCGAGCCGGTGTCCTTCACCCTCTCGCTGCCAGCCAGGTCCACGAAGCAGAGCACGCCTTTCTGGCAGGAGCTGGGCTCTGGGCTCATCTGTGGGGAAGGGGAGGGACTGTAGCTCACAGGTGTCCTGCTCCATGGGCCTTCAGGGACACTCCCAGCCAGGCAGCCTGCCCTGCACAGCTGGGGTCTCCAGTGCAGGCCCTAGCGAGCCCAGCGAAGGGAGAAGCACCAGGCCGGCTCAGATGGGCGTCAGCCCAGAGCAGCCCCTGGAGGGTGAACAGGGCAGTAGCAAATCAAAGCCATTCAGGTCAGTGCCCATTTGCCTCCCCGTGTGCCCCTCGGACCCTCCCCCAAGCTGCCAACGCAGCTGGCCCCCTGGGAGCAGGATGGGATATGCCATGGCCCCCGAGGCCCCGCGTGCTGGGACACGAGTGACTCACAGCCTTGCGGCAGATGCGGATGGTCAGCAGGGCGTGGCTGCGACTCGAGTGCCCATTCAGTGCATGCGCGGCGCTCCGCCGCCTTCGGGTGCCTGGGAGTGGGAGGCGCAGGCAGTTCAGAGCCGGACGAAAAGGTTAAACAGCCCCTGACCCCCTGGTGCTGGGCCTCACCCTCCTGCAGAACCTGCCCTCCCAGGGTCCTGAGCTCGTTACGGGGCTGGGGGCCTCTGCAGCTCCAGGAACGGGGATGGAGCCTCTTCCCTCAGCGGCTGGGTCTAGGCCAGCACAGGCTGTTCCCATCTGGCTGCTGCCTGTGCCCCCAGGCCGCCAGTCCTGCCTTGGAAAACAGCTGGTGACCTAGGCCAGAGTGATGCCCTGGTGCAGGCGGAAGGCTCGTGGGAGGAGCAGCTCCCCACCACTAGGCGCAGCAAAAGGGAATTCACTCCCCACCTGGCCACCAGGGGGCCCCTTCTGCACTGGGCTCATTGCCCATGGGCTGCAGAGTCCTGGGGTCTCCACTCACCGGGGGTCCTGCCTGTGCCCCTCCCCAGTGCCCTGCAAGGTTGGAGACGCCCTGTGCGGTACCTTCCTGCAGCAGGTCCATGATGGTCTCCAGGCTCCCAAACTCCACAGTGAGCAGGTTCTCGATGTAGAAGCCCCTGGTTTTGCTCCATCGCACGGGCAGGGGCCTGGGCGATTCTGGGCTCAGCAGGTCTCTCACCTGGACAGAGGGGAGGCACCGGGGCAGGTGGGAATGGAGCCCAGAAAGCCAGGAGGACGCGGGGGAGCGGGAAGGGCTGTAGCAGAGAGGTAATGGGGGGCAGGGCAGGGTAATGTCTGGTGCCCATCAGCCAGCCCTGGGCATGGGCTGGGGGCATGAGGTGCTGCAGCTCTTTGTCCAGGCAGGGTGGTGGGGGTGGCCCTACCTGCTCATTGTGTATCTCCACATACGAGGCGCTGAGCACGAGGCCGGGTCTGTAGCGCTGCGTCTGCTCCAGGAGACACACAAAGGCCCTTTGCATCAGCCCCCCGAGGTAGGGA